AGGGGCGGTGTCTTGGGGTGGAAAGGCGGTGTCAAGAGGGAGGAGGAGGAAGGGGGCAGGGAGATGGAGAGGCGCTCTCAAGCTATAAAAGAGCGGTCCCGAGTGCCCCGTTCCTGCACTCGCAGGAAAGCCGCTCCGAGCCAGGGGCCGTTCCAAAGCCAGGTCTCGCCGTCGGGCCGGGAGGACTGAGCCCTGCGCAGAGCGAGCAGCAGCCTGGTCCAGGCGGAGGCCGAGGAGGGGCTCCAGGCGCCGATCTTCGCGTGGCCCGGTGCCCGAGCCCCAGAGACGCTCCAAGACGCTTCTGGTCCCCGCAGCAGCGCCCCCGCCCCCCGTCAGCGCCTGCTGCGCGGTGCCTCCAGAAGGGGAACTTCGCGTTCGCAGGAGGCGCTGAACTGCAGCGCCTCCTCCCAGTTGACTCCCGGAGCCCCGTCTACGGCCGGCTCTGCGTGAACTTGCAAAGAATAATAGTAACTGTTACCTTGAACCATCCAGAGCGCGGCCGGCGAGACTCTGCACTCCCGGCCCACACAATAGCCTTCTAGGTTGGTGCGCGGCGGCGCGCGGTGCCTCCCGGGGCTCGGGTGAGGCTAGCGGTCCCCGCGGCGTTCCGAAGGCGTAACCGCCGGCGGCGACATGGGGAAGGCAGAGCTGGCGCGGTGGTCCCGGGGATCGCAGCGTGAGTCCGTGCTGCTGCTGCTGCTGCTCGCGGCGGCTGCAGCGCCGCTGACCGTGCCGGGTGCGCACGGGCGCCCCGCGGAGGAAGACGAGGAGCTGGTGCTGCCGGCACTGGAGCGCGACCCGGGACACAGGGACACGCACCTCCGCCTGGACGCCTTCGGCCGGCAGCTGAGCCTGGAACTGCAACCGGACCGCGGCTTCCTGGCGCCCGGCTTCACGTTCCAGACCGTGGGGCGCACACAGGGGCCAGATGCTCCAAGTCCCGACCCGGTCGGCGACCTGGCGCACTGCTTCTACTCCGGCACAGTGAACGGCGACCCCAGCTCAGCCGCCGCGCTGAGCCTCTGCGAGGGCGTGCGCGGCGCCTTCCATCTGCAGGGCGAGGAGTACTT